TCAGAGTCCATTGGGATGGTGACCATGCGTGTAGCCTAATGTTCGAAGCCTGGTCTAAGATGGAGTCCAGCTCTGTCTGTTTCCTCCTTCATCTTCAGTCCTTCCAGGCATCAGGGTCTTTTCTGCTGAGGTTATTACCCTTTTATTCAGAGGTCTCAGAAAGTGCCCGTGGTCTGGGCTCAAACAGGGGAGTCCCACTATGCTGTGGCTCATTCACCAGCCCAGGGGACGGTCTGGAGTGTCCCACCTTGCCTGCCCCAGACCAGGAGAGCCAGGCAGGGGCCAGAGGTACTCTGAAAGCTACGGCAGGGCAAAGTCAGGTCTGGCCATAACTGCTGGGCATCCAGGGTCATCAGACAGCCCCAGTGAGACGCCCCAGCCAGCAGGTTGGGCCCTTGGAAGTCACAGGTGAGCAGCATCAGGGCAATGCAGGTGATGCTAAGATTGGAGAGGAGGGGGCCCTGAGTCCTGCCTGGCCTGGGCTGTGGGCACCAAACAGGCATCATGGGAGGAGGCCAGACGCTGGGCAGGACCGTCCGCCTCCCTGCGGCCAGCGGGTTCAGGGCTCCCTGGCAAGGGCAGGCGACAGGGCGGGGCCGGACCAGACGGAGCTGAGTTTGGCTGCAGGGAAACGCAGGCCTCACACGGGTTCCTGAGCGCTGAGACTGGGGAGTCCCGACTCCCGACCAGAGTGTGCCTGGACTGGACAGCTGAGCCTGGGCAGATGCCAGAGGGAGAGACAGTCCTGAGCAGAGCCCGAGAGATGCCGTCCTTTCCCCTCCTCTCCCCTTCCGCTCCTGGGGCTCCCCTCCCCTCCCCTCCCTACCTGCCCTCTCTCGGGCTGTGGGAAATGGAAACTCAGAGCCCTGGGCTCCTCCTCCTGCCCCTCCCCCGCCCAGCCCCACTTCCTCTCCTCCCTCCGCTCCTGCAGAGTCTGGGCCTCCTAGCCTCCCCCAACACGGGGGAGGGGCAACAGGAATGGAGAGAGCCATCAGCTGCTCCCAGGAGGTCTCCAAGGATCACAGTCACCAGGAGGCTTCGAAGCGCTGAGCCCTGCTTTTCATCTCTCGGTGTAGTTGTGGGTAGAGTAATAACAGACTATTATCACCTGCAAAATAGTCAGTGCACAGATATAGAAGCTGGGGTTAGCATGCGCGGGAATAGAGCATTGGTTACACAGCTGTCCTTCCGCTGCCGTCTGCCCCCGGGCTCCCAGTGTCCCCTGACTGTGATGGTCACGTCCAGCTGGGCATCTTCCTCTGTCCTGGCCTGTGTTTCAGGACTCAGTCGAGTGTGGGGTCTTCAGTGCAGAAAGAATCCAGCGAGAGGCAGAGGGACAGGAAGGGCAGAGGCTTGTTAGTGTAGGACACTGTGAGGGATACTAGCGGACAGGTAAGGGAGCCTTGCCATGAAAGCTGGGTGGGCGTCATTTTTTATAAATGCAGAAGAAGTTGGGAAGGGAAAAAAGACCATCTTTTTACTCATTCTTGAGTAGATGTCAAACTTTCCTCATCAGCTCCTCCTGCATGTCTGGCAGAGAAGCCTTCTTGTTTCTGCATTGTTGAACTGGGATTGTCCTGGTGCTGTGGAAATGTGCAAAAGGGCCAAAAAGGTGGTCGCTGTCAACTACAACTTGGCACTAGCCATCTCCCTCTACAAGGGTTAAACCATGTGCTGCTGCAGCTGCTGACCTCCAACACTCCCTGAAGGAGTTTAGGGTGGAGATCAAGAATGAGGCATTCTGTACCCTCAGGAAACTGCCGTCTTCAGTAAGATGTTTTCAGGAGCTGATATTATCAACCCAATTCTTGCGTCTCCTCATATCTGGAAAAGCACTGAATTCCATTATGGTGACATCTGCTTCTCATGAACTAGCGAAACCTGCAAAAATATGTGCTTGATTGCGGGAACTCCCCTTCACCAAAATCACCTATGTATTGATCTTTCCCCACCTGCCTCTTTGGAGCAGTTTCTCCTCGGCTGCAGTCCTCATTTTGCCCCAAATGAAACCTCACTTGAAACTGTCACATTGTGCATTTTTTAAAAGTCGATTTAACAGGATGTGAGTCTCACTCCACCATTGTCTGGGGACGTGTCTTGTGCTTCTGTTGCGTGGTTTGTTGCTAAGCAAGCCTGCTTTCTTGAGTGATCATTGACTTACCGAGGCCTCCCGTACTTTTTTCCTTACTTATGCTCCCTTACTGCGAGTAACTATTTAATCACCTACTTCGTTTCTTCACTCTGTCCCTGTCACCAGCACTGCCCAGCCCTGCTGGTCTTAAAACAGGAGGGAAGTGGGCGGGGCACAAGCTTTAAAAGGATGGCATAGCTCAAAGTGAAAGTGTTAGTTGCTCAGTCGTGTCTGACTCTTCAGGACCCTATAGACTGTAGCCCACCAGGCTCCTCTGCCCATGGGATTCTCCAGGCAGGAATGCTGGAGTGGGTTGCATACCCTTCTCCGGGGGATCTTCCCAACCCGGGGATAGAACCTGAGTCTCTTACATCTCCTGCATTGGCAAGTGGGTTCTTTACCACTAGTGGCACCTGGGAAGCCCTACAAAACTCAGAGACATATTATTATGTATTTCCCTTGAGGAGGAACTAGGACCCTGCTTTATGTTATCACTGCACTCTTGTTTGACCGCTTTTCCTCTGTCCCAGCATTCCTTTGTCCCCTGAAGATCATTGATTACTGACAGTGTTCAAGGGCAAGCGCTGTGACCAGGCTTAGATCACAAAATGGCTTTTCTTATGTCAAGAAAGCCATTCCTGACTCTTTCTCCAGGGACTCCCTAACCTATCTGCTTACACAGTTTCAGTCTTTTTCCAGGACTGTACTCAGGACTCTAGCCTGGGAGACGGGCTCTCAGTAGCTCTGAGGAAACGTCTCGAAAAGGTAGGGAGGAGCTCGGATCTACCTGAATCCTTCTGATTGGGAAACACAGGTCGTCAAGTGTTGCTGTTCAGTCGCTCAGTCGTGTCCGACTCTTTGCGACCCATGGACGGCAGCCCCCCAGGCTCCTCTGTCCGTCGGATTCTCCAGGCAAGAACACTGGAGTGGGCTGCTATTTCCTTCTCCAATGCATGAAAGTGAAAAGTGAAAGACAAGTGGCTCACTCGTGTCCATCTCTTAGCGACCCCATGGACTGCAGCCCGCCAGGCCCCTTCGCCCACGGGGTTTTCCAGGCAAGAGCACCGGAGTGCAGTGCCATTGCCTTCTCCCAAAGCGTCCGACACTTGCGGCCTATCTCCTCTGGGCCCCTGGCCTTCCTGCCTGTGACCTCACATCTGTCCTTCCGTGTGTCCTGGAGCGTGCTCAGACTCACGTCCACTGAGTTGGTGCTGCCATCCAACCATCTTGTCCTGTCCTCTGTCACCCCCTCCTCCTGCCCTCAATCTTTCCCAGCATCAGGGTCTTTCCCAAAGAGTTGGCTCTTCGCATCAGGTAGATTACAGCGAATCACAAAAGACAGACATCTCATGTTAATGATTTTAGTGCTTTCTATATATGGGAAGATGCAAGAATTGGGGGTCATTGAAATTTTTCCTTAGACCCACGTCTTCGCTACCTAGAGTGCGCATCCAAAACACAGAAGGCTTCCTCCTGTGCTGCAACGGGCCGCAATTTAACCCTTGTGGAGCAGGACTGGTGGGGAGCAGTGTTCTGGCTTTGCTTTTTTTTTTTTCCCTGCACCGCATAGCATGTGAAATCTTGGTTCCCCGACCAGGGATCAAACCTGTGCCCCTTGCAATGGATGTGCAGTCTCAACCACCGGACCACCAGGGAAGTCCTTGAACTTTCTGCTTTCAGGACTCAGGACTCCAGGGGTAACCAGAATTCCTGGGGGACGTTCTGATTTCTTCTCCTTTAATTGCTTCTTGTTTTGGTTTTAATGCTGGTCTGACCCACTCAAATGACTCACTCAAATCTCAACATTTTTACCACCCTGGAGTCTCAACCAGACTGCTGTAATGTGCTTCTAGATCCTTCCACAATACGTAGGCTGGGCCTGGATCTCCTTCCCCTTCTCATCCTGCTGGACCACCCTGACTTCCCAGGGCAGACTCCTCCTCTTGTCCCTCCTTGGAACTCTATCATTGCCTTGGTCCCCAACCTCAAGTGTTGGCTGGAGTCTTCCTTGGTGGCAGTGATGAGGACACTGCACTCGTGGTATCACAGGGCCCATCTGTGCTGAGCTGCTCACCGCCCCTGTGACCAGGGCCCAGGACATGGGCCAGAACCGGAGCCCCGCGGTGACCACTGTCTTGCCCTGCTTCACAGTGATCCTTGGACTCTGGACTCAAGCACATGGGAGCTTCTGGTCAGCCTGGGCCACCCTGCAGTCCTGGATCCGCTGCTCCTGGGCCACCAACCTAATCAAAGAATCCCCTTGGCTTAGAACCCAGGCCCCACAGCAGACGCTAGGGGTCCATGGCTGGCCGAAGACCACAGTGGGGCATGCCGGGGAGTAGGCACAAGCAGGGAGGGCCGCCACTCAGGGAGAAGCATCCCAGCCCTTCTCCAGGGGAGTCCCTCTCACATGCCCGTGAGACAGGGGCCTTGTTCCCCCTTACTCAGCTCCTGCACGCCCCCTCCCCCCCCATCCATGCTGTGTGTCCTTTGCAGCCCGACTGGCCCAGGTAGCCCTACCCAAGTCCCAGAATGTGCAGGGTGGTCTCCTCCCTTCCAATCCCATCCCTCTTTCTGTAGGGTCCTGCCTCCCATCTAGAATTGGGCTGACCACCTCCCTTGCCCCGCCCCAGTCTCCCTGTCCACTCCAGTCCTGTCCTGAGGATCAAATGATTCCACCCAGTTGAGGGCAGCTAGCTGTGAACTTGGGTGACCCCTCCCTCAGGGCCTCCAAGTGGGCTTCAGGGTGGGGGCTCATCACAGGGAACCGTCAGACCCCTCTACACCTGAGGCTCTGGATCTCTGCTGCCCCCCCTACTAGGACCCCGATGGGAGGGGTGGTCTCAAGCTGAGGGCCACACCAGAGCCAGAAAGGGTGGAAATGTGTTTATTTGAGGCAATGAAGCAGCAGGAGTGTGGGGTGGAGGGAGGGGGTGGGCGGCTGTGGGATCTGGGGTGGGAGCAGATTCCTGGGTTGGTAGCCTAGACCTGGGAACAGGGGAAGCCCTGTCTCCCCAAAGGGCCACCCTCTAAGTGAGTGAAATGACAAGGACATATGCAGAGATACCAGGGACTGGGGCTCTGTGCTGGCACTTGGGGCTCCAGACATACTTCAGACCCCCACCCCTCCCCCAAACACACTCACACATGCCTAGCTGGGCACATGGACCACACACCTGTCCACACAGCACATCTTCTGCACTTGGGGGCAGGGAGGGAGCAGGGATTAGGAGCCCCTCCCGGCGTGTCCCTGGGACTCGGTTCTGACTCCCGGACGCTCAGGCTCCATTCCCAGGTTCCCCCGGCAAGGCTGACCTGGAGTAAGGGGAGCTGGCAGGTGTGGGTACAGGGGGCCAGGCCTGCCTGTGGGGACCCAGGGCCGAGAAGGTGGGACTAGCAGGGTGAGGAGTCAGAGGCGGCGGCTTTGAGATTCTCTTGGGTCTGGGCTTTCCTTCCTTCCTGAGCTTTGGGAGCCTGGGCTGGGCAGTCAGGGTCCAGCCCACAGCAGAGCCGCCAGCAGGCTGAGCAGAAGCCCCAGGCCCAGCACGGAGGTGCTGGCGCGCGGCATGCCGTCCGCCGCGCTGATGTTGCACAGAAAGCTCTGGCAGCAGGACATGTCCATGGACGCCAAGCCGATGTTGATGCTCGAGGAGCTGCAGGTCGGGGAGCAGGACTTGTACAGGGAGTAGCCGAAGTCTATCACGTTCTCTGCGTCACCGGAAAGGAGGCTGTGAGTGGAGGAGGGGGGGAGGCTGGGGGAGCCTGGCCGCCCTGCACCCGCACTCACTCAGGCCGGCGGAGGAAGAGACCGTCACGCAGTAACTGTCGGTGTCGGAGCAGATGGTTGGCTTCAGGCAGTACCAGTTGCTCTTCTGATTCTGGCAGGTGAAGCACATCAGGCAGTGGGCTGCAGGAAGGACGTGGTCTCAGGCCAGGAGGTCTTCTGGTGCCCCCTCCCAGCCCCGACCCAGAGGCTTGAGGGTACCCCCTCTTGCGCAGGCACTGATGGGGTCCCTATGGCACACGGGACCCAGGCTGGAGACCTGGAAGAACAAGGACACACCAGACCCTGGCCCTGGAGGGGTTCCAGTGATGTCCAAGTGTTGGGGCAGGCCTGAGGCCTCCAGGGGAGGTGGGGGCAGGAGTGACGCCTCATGGGCGGCGGGGAGGCAGTGAGTGGCACCGGTGACACGGCCACAGCCGTCTTGGAGGCCTGGGGCCCGGGGCACCTCACCTTGCTCCACGCCCAGGAGGGCAGCCAGCAGCAACGGCAGGAAGACCTTCATTCTGGAGGGACAGGCGTCTGGCTGGGCTCTCAGGAAGCTGAAGTCAGCCCTGCTCCAAAGAGATGGTGTGCTGGGGGGCGGGCCTTGCTTCTTCCAACGGGGTCAGAGCTGTTGGCCCTGGGGGACAGCTGGTGACCCCACTTTGTAGATGGGGGGCGGGAGGTGCCAGAAGCAAGGCCAGAGTGCAGACGGGTCTTTCTGCTCCATTCCGAACCCACCCCTCACTCAGCATAGGCTCCTGGCTGAGACCCTTCCTCAAGTCTGTGGCATTTGCTGCTGGGGGAGGGGGGACAGAGGTCAGATAAGGGAAGTCATTAGGGCTTTCAGAATCCCCCAGAAAGGGAGACAAAGGGAGAGGGCCCTGACTGTGGTCCTGGCAGTGTGGGTGAGACGGGCTAGGACCTGGGGTCCTCTACCAGAGTGCTCGCACCTGGACAAACGTCCCAGTGAGCAACACAATACAAAGAAACTACAAGTGACTAAAAATCACAATGCCTATGCACCCCCTGGGCAAAAGGATACAAGAAGCCACAAACAAACTACATTTTTGAGGTGCTGGGAGCACAAGCAGGGTGGTGTTCAGGATCCCCCCACAGCACCAAGCAGGGGGACAGACCACCTAAACGATGCCTCCTGCCTCCCCCACAGACCTGCCCCTGTTGTCACTCCGTTTCAGGATGGAAGCAGCTCCTCTCGGGGAGCGGGTGAGGGCACCTGCTTCTTGTTTTTGCTTCCTTGTGCTGCAGTTTCAGCACCTGTAAAGACTTGTTTGGAATTCTGATCTGGTCTCTTATCAGTTTCTCGAGTTCAAGGGCCCTGGAGGGATGGTGGCTGGTAATATTAGCTGACCAGCATCCAGAACTTTCCATGGGGCCAGTGCCATGCCTGCCATGGAGTCCGAGAGCTAGACTGGGGGCACAGGGCTTATCTAGCTAAGCATCCCCAGGGCAGCATCTGTGCTGGGGGAGCCAGTACAGGGCTCTCCCATTTGTCCAGGGGCAGCACTGAAGACAAGGACCACAGAAGCATCTGCTGCTCTTGATGGCTGGTGGGGGAGGAGGGCGGGGTGCTCATGGGGACCCAGCAGTGTGCCACCAGTCACCCCAGTGGGAACAGGCCCAGGCTGAGGCGGATGGGGGCAAGCCCGTTCCAGGACACTCCTTTGGGCAAAGATCCTTAGCAGGGGGTGGAGAAAGCTCTCAGAATGAGACCAGCTGGGGTTCTGGACTTCTGTTTCAGGCGAGGTGTGGGAGGAGCAGTCTGGCGCTTTCTGCAGGGGAGAGCTGTGTGTGGGGGAGGGCACTAGTCCCTAGGCACTGGGAGGAAGGAGAATGCCAAGGAGAGGACAGATTTTGGGAGGGGCTGGCGGAGACCCCGAGAATGGGCTTCAGGTCTCTCTTGCCCAAGGGCTGATGTCCTGGGGCGCAGAGAAGGAGCCGCAGATGTCCGAGAACAGCGCCAAGCCCCCCTGGGGCCTGTGCCCGGATCCAGGCAGTTCAGGGAGGAAGAAGTCTCGGTCTCCTCCTCCATAAAGTGAGAATCCCGCGGAGGCGCTCCGAGCGGTCCTGAAGGAAGCTCTGGTGCCCACAGCCGCCGGCCCCGGCTGGCACGGCCAGCATCACCACTGACTGCTGCCAGGTTCCCCCTCCCCCCCAGCGGGCTGAGTCCAGGCACTGGACACCAACGTATCCACACTAGTGGGGTCACGCGGAGAGGAGCCCTGAGAGGAGCCAGTGAGTTTGGGGGTGGGGTTCGGCCAATCGCGGACTGTGTACTTGTCTGCCAGGCGCACGGACCGGGCTGATCTCTGGCGAAGCCTGGCACTCAGTGACTCTGCGCCGGCAAGAGAGGTAGGAGCTGGTCCTGGGCCCCCGGGAAGGAAGGGCGGCCCAGCGCAGGGAGTGGGCTCCTAGGCATCTCCAGTGCTTGCATAATTTATGCCAAACAAGGTGCTTTCACCTCTTCCCTTGGCGGGCTCCCGTATCCGTGGTCACCCTCCTGGGCAGTTAACTCTCTCTTTCCTGCCAGCCGCCAAGATCCCAGCCCTCTCAAGTCTGGAAGGCTGCTTCTCCCCAGTTCCCACGTGAGGGGTCGTGGAACCTAGAGTTGGGCGATGGGCCCCCGGCGCCTGCGCAACCCTGGACTACCCAGCCCGCTGCAGTCTCCGTGCGCTCCCGCCCTCGTCCGTCAGAAATATTGGGGAGGGCCGGGGAGCGGGGGAGCCAGGCGGGCAGGCGAGCCCTGGGGCCTGGCCGCTCACAACCCCGACCCCCAGGCTCCCTCCCGCAGGCTCCTCCCGCCTGCCCAGGGCCTCACTCGCCCGCTCCCCCTCCGCCCCGGGGAGGGCCCCATACCCGCGCCCCGGCCCGCCGGGCCGGCCGGGCCCTGACTTACCGCCGGCGGACGCAGGTACCCGGCCTGGCGGCGTAGCAGCCCAAACTGCCCGGTAGCCGGAGCCCGCCGCAGCCCGCAGTCCGGGCGGGAGAGGCGGTGCTCGAGCGCGGGGGGCGCGGCTTGGCGCCCAGGCCCCGCCCGCCGGCCCCTCTCCCCCGCGCAGCGCAAGCTGCCGAGGTTCAGTCTGGTCCCGGGGGCGGAGGCGTCGCGCGCACCCGCGGCAGCCGGGGCAGGGGTGGGGGAGGCCCACAGGTGGCCCGACACTTTTCCGGTGGAGCACAGGGGAGGGGAGGCGGCCGAGGAGGCCGAGGCGGCGGTGCCCAGAACCCCTTTTTCAAAGTGGAGTGCGGGCGGCCAGGAGGCTGAGAGGAGGCCTTCCCTGCGCCGGCCGTCAGCCGTCCCATGGTGGGGGGAGGTGACAGGATGAGGATCCAGGGGTGGAGGAGGGGGTTTCGGGGCAGTGGTTGTGGACCACAGTGCGGACCGGCTGGAGATCCCGGCCGCACCCGTGTCTAAACCCTCCGCCTAGGAAGACTCGTGAGCCTCCTGGGTGCTCCGCTGCAGCCGGCTGGGGCGGGCTGGGTCCCAAAGCCAGCCGGACCTGACCCTCCCAGCGGAGCCTAGAGGCCGCCGACCATCCTTCATGAAGCGGGCTTTCCTGGGTTTGGCGTCAGTGCCTTTCTGGTGTTCTGTCTCAGGTGCCATTAACTGCCTGCGCTTCAGCAACCGTTCACAGAGCATCCACGGTGTGCAGCTCTGGCCTGGCCCGACGCCTCCCGGGCCTGTGAGCCAGGCCAGCTTCTGTAGCTGCCCCGGCCCTAACCCCTGCTTCTCCTGGGGGCGGGGAGGCGGGGGGCGGATGGAGACCCGCGCACCGCCTGCCTGCCTGCGCTGGGGCTGCAGGTGGAGCGCCCCCAGTAGTCACACTTCTTACTTTCACAGCACATTTCCTGTTGGAGCTGTTTTTTTTTTTTTGGTCACCTGACCTTTTCTCACACCCTTTCTGGGTGACATTTGTGGTGACGGGGGTGGGGGGTGGGGGTAGGGCACAGGAGACGTGGCTTCTTAACCATTCACCCGCGGAGAGAGGTGGCAAGAGGGAGGGGCTGAGGCAGGATGGCAGGGTGGTCAGGATGGGGCAGGGTGGGAAGAGGGACCCTGTAAGAGGGGCCCAGTCCTGTGGGCAGGGTGGGGGTACCCTGGGCACCATGTGGTTATGCGTGGACGTGAGTGTGTGTGATTGCCTGGTGAGTGGGCTGTGTGTGCAGAGTTCTGCCGGGGCTCCGCTTCTGTGGTCTTCTGTGATGTCCAGGTGACAGGAGAGTGGGACAGATCAACTTGGAGAGGCTTCTGGGGCTTTTTCTTTAGAGGCTGAAGGTGAGACTCTGTGTGTCCTGAGATGTCGCAGTTCAGGTATGATGACATCCTTGGGAACTACACAACGCTGGGGCCCAGGCACATGCCATAGGCCGTGGCCCATGGTTAGTCTCCTTCTGGGTCTCAGGTCTGGGGAGCAGGGACTGCACCAGCTCTGGCCACACCCAACATAACCTGAAAACTGAGGCAAAGAGCCCAGCTGGTTCCCTTGAGCTTGATGCTTGGTTTCAGCCCACACTCCAGTCGGACTTGTCTGATAGGGTGGGGGTGGGGTGGCCTAATTAGCCTGCTGCACTCAGAAAGCCACGCCCTTGAACCCATGGCAGTTCTGGGTTTGTATCCAGGCCCGGTATCCTTAGGCTTGGTATAGCCAGGCTCATCAACCAAAGTTATGCCAGGGGGCTTTCCTAAAGGCTCACCCAGCCCTGGGGGGCGGGGGCAGGGACAACTCAGGCTCCCTCTTTCAACCTCTTGCTCTGGGGACTTGCTGCTTGCCTACTTGACAGCTGCTGGAATGGCCAGGTGTGTGCCTCCCACTTCTGCATCTAGTCATTCTGAAGATACATCTGCCTCTCTCTCTGCTTCCTTTCCCTCTCCCCTCCCTCCTGTGGACTTAAAGGATATTCACAACCTTAAAGTTGAGAGTTCTGTTTTATTAGGCAGGAAGCCTGGGTGTCTGCATCTCAAGTAACCCTGAGAGAACTCCACCAGGGTGGCGAAGAGTGTGTGTGTGCCATGTTATATAGAAATTTGCAACAAAGGGCAGGTAATCTGAACTTCAAAAGATTATTTTTAATTAAAGAAAAGCAGATATTCCAAGTTAAGGAATTTAGCTCTTTTCTATGTATGTAGTTGTTATTGTTCAGTTGCTAGGTGTGTCTGACTCTGCGACCCTATGGACTGCAGTATGCCAGACTTTCCTGTCCTTCACTGTCTCCCGGAGTTTGCTCAGACTCACGTCCGTTGAGTTGGTGATGCCATCCAACCATCTCATCCTTTGTCATCCCCTTCTCCTCCTGCCTTCAATCTTTCCCAACATCAGGGTCTTTTCCAGTGAGTTGGCTCTTCACATCAGGTGGCAAAGTCCTGGAGCTTCAGCTTTAGTATCAGTCCTTCCAATGAATATTCAGGGTTGATTTCCTGTAGAATTGACTGGTTTGATCTCCTTTCAGTCCAAGGAACTCTCAAGAGTCTTCTTCAGCATCGCAGTTTGAAACCATCAATTCTAGGTGCTCAGCCTTCTTTATGGTCTAACTCTCACATTTATACATGACTACTGGGAAAATCATACCTTTGACTATACAGACCTTTGTCGGCAAAGTGGATGTCTCTGCTTTTTAATATGCTGTCTGTCATAGTTTTCCTTGCAAGGAGCAAGCGTCTTTTAATTTCATGGCTGCAGTCACTGTCCACAGTGATTTTGGAGTCCAGGAAAATAAAATCTGCCAGTGTTTCCATTTTCCCCGCTTCTATTTGCCAGATGGTGACTGCAGCCATGAAATTAAAAGACACTTGCTCTTTGGAATAAAAGCTATGACAAACCTAGACAAAATATTAAAAAGCAGAGACATTGTTTGCTGACAAAGGTACGTCTAGTCAAAGCTATGCTTTTTCTAGTAGTCATGTATGGATGTGAGAGTTGGACCATAAAGAAGTCTGAGCACTGAAGAATTGACGCTTTTGAACTGTGGTGTTGGAGAAGACTCTTGAGAGGCCTTTGGACTGCAAAGAGATCAAACCAGTCAATTCTAAAAGAAATCAATCCTGAATTTTCATTGGAAGGACTGATGCTGAAGCTGAATCTCCAGTACTTGGGCCACCTGGTTTGAAGAGCCGACTCCTTAGAAAAGACCCTAATCCTGGGAAAGATTGAAGGCAGGAGGAGAAATGGATGACAGAGAATGAGATGGTTGGATGGCATCACAGACTCAGTGGACACGAGTTTGAGCAAGCTCTGTGAGATGGTGAAGGTGAATGAAGCCTGGCATGCTGCAGTCCATGGGGTTGCAAAGAGTCAAACATGACTCAGTGACTGAACAACAAAATTTACCATGAAGTGATGGGACTGGATGCCATGATCTTAGTTTTCTAATGTTGAGTTTTAAGCCCGCTTTTTCATTCTCCTCTTTCACCCTCCTCAAGAGGTTCTTTAGTTCCTCTTCACTTTCTACCATTAGGGTGGTGGTATCTGCATATCTGAGGTTGTTGAAATTTCTCCTGGCAGTCTTGATTCCAGCTTGTGATTTATCCAGCCCAGCGTTTTGCATGATATACTCTGCATAGAAATTAAATAAGCAGGGTGACAATATATGGCCATGATGTACTCTTTTCCCAATTTTGAACCAGTCCATTGTTCCATGTTTGGTTCTGATTGTTGCTTCTTGACCTGCACACACACTTCTCAGGAGGTAGGTAAGGTGGTCTGGTATTCCCATCTCTTTAAGAATTTTCCAGTTTGTTGTCATCTACACAATCACAGGCTTTAGCACAGTCAGTGAAGCAGAAGTAAATATTTTTCTGTAATTCTCTTGCTTTCTCTATGATCCAGTGGATGTTGGCAATTTGATATCTGGTTCTTCTGCCTTGTCTAAATCCAGCTTGTACATCTGGAATTTCTCAGTTCAGGTACTGCTGAAGCCTAGCTTGAAGGATTTTGAATATTATCTTGCTAGTGTGTGAAATAGGTGCAATTGTTCGGTAGTTTGAACATTACCCTTTTTTGGGATTGGAATGAAAACTGACCTTTTCCAGCCCTGTGGCCTCTGTTGAGTTTTCCAAATTTGCTGGCATATTGAGTGCAGCTCTTTCGCAGCACCATCTTTTAGGATTTTAAATAGCTCAGTTGGAATTCCATTACTTTCACTAGCTTTGTTTGTAGTAATGCTTCCTAAGGCCCACTTGACTTCCCACTCCAGTATGTCTGGCTCTAATGAGTGACCACATCATCATGGTTATCTGCATCATTAAGACCTTTTTTGCCCACCAGAAACTCTTGGAGGGCAAAAACAAAACCTTGTGTGCACCAGGACCCAGGCAATGAAGCACTGACCCCCACAAGAGACTGAGCCAGATATGCAGATGATATCAACCTAATGGCAGAAAGTGAAGAGGAACTAAAGAGCCTGTTGATGAAGTGGAAAGAGGAGAGTGAAAAGGCTGGCTTAAAACTAAACATTAAAAAACTAAGATCGTGGTATCTGGTCCTATCACTTCATGGAAAAAGTAGAAGTAGTGACAGACTTCATTTTCTTGGGCTCCAAAATCACTGCAGATGGTGATGCCATGATATTTAAAAGTGCTTGCTCCCTGGAAGGAAAGCTTTGACAACACAGCATATTAAATACCTAGACAGCATATTAAAAAGCAGGGACATCACTTTGCCAACAAAGGTCCATACAGTCAAAGCTAGTTTTTCCTGTAGTCATCTCTGGATGTGAGAGTTGGACTGTAAAGAAGGCTGAGCACTGAAGAATTGATGCTTTTGAACTTTGGTACTGGAGAAGACTCTTGAAAGTCCCTTGGACTGCAAGGAGATCAAACCAGTCAATCCTAAAGGAAATCAACCCTGAATTTTCATTGGAAGGTCTGATGCTGAAGATGAAGCTCCAACACTTTGGCCACCTGATGCCAAGAGCCGACTCATTGGAAAAGACCCTGATGCTGGGAAAGATTGAGGGCAGGAGAAG